GTGCTGGGGCTGTGCTATACATTTTATTCATGTTTTTCACGAATGGATAAGGTTTTATTTATTTTAATGATCCTGGTGGCTTTCCAATACATTTAAGGTCATCATTGGCAGGCTCTAAGTGTCTTGTAACATTGGATTGTGCTGTTCTGTCATGCCAAGATCCTAATTTTCTTTAGTTCCAAGCTTCACCTTCTACTGTTTGCATGCCGTAGTACTAGCAGATAATGTACTCTGTGTAATGGCACAGTTTATAGCACTACGCATTCTGGACTATAAATAATTTTTTCTGTAACAAATTTACAAGCAATTGAACCACAGATCCTGAGGTTTAAAAAGAAACAGAAATAGGTACCACAACAAAATGAGTCCCGAGAAAAAGGTAGGCAAGCTTTGACACTGGAGTGGCAAAATTCCCTGCCCCAGACTATAAACTGCGTTGGCAGTAGTAGACTTGGACAGGACCAGCTAAATTTGGTTCAGCTAATTCGATTTGTCCAGAAAAACAATTGTTAGTCAATTAGGGATTCGTCCATGGGGCATTCTGATACGGACAAATTTCACCAATGAAATAGTTTTGGGAAAAAGAAATCGGACAAATGAAAAAGGCACAAAAATGGTCCTGTTACAGTTATGAAAAATATATACATAATAAAAATCTTTGCGCACTATTGCAAATCCATGCTGCTCAAGACCAGTAGAAGTTTGAGCGCAGGGCTTAATTTTGTATGTTTGTATTTGCTTTTGTATTACACAGTCATGTTACAGTGCTGCAACCCACCCCATGTGTTCTCTATTAAGGTGTAGGGCTTAATCAGAGTGTAGGGCTTTAAAAAAAAAAAAACGGCCCTCTCTGCCTCATTAGAGATTTTGCATTTTAGTTGAAGGCAGCAAGGTGAATTGTTAGTGAAGGACTCACCTAGGAGGATTAGCCTTGACGTGGCAGGTGAACGTACACTTAATAGTCATTGGAGATGACTAATACACCTCCAGTTATTTAATGTGCATATGGATTTGGGATAATGAGCAAGTAAATTTTTTCTTTGGTTTTTATTGTATGTATTGCAGATGATGTGTACTACAGTCGCTTAATTTGTATGATAATATAAATATTGTGCATACATTGCAGTACAGAGATAGGTGCATTTTCTATCATTTTGTGTCACAGATCAAGTGATCAAGAAGGAGCCAATAGTGGGGAAAAGGGAATAGCAGTAAAAAAGAGAAATACATTTATATTTATTAATTATATAATATATATATTTTTTTACTGCTCCTACTTTTTTGCTCTTTTGGTCACTTCACACTTGATCTATGAATAAAATCAATATTTAGTGTCTGTCCCCTAGCCATCACTGATATATTTCCCCATCATTCATCTCTTTATTTGGTTCCATGGATGAAATCTGAAATAATGACACAAACAAAAAATGGTTTGTCTATTGTCTGATTTTTGCTTGTAATTAATCTAGATTACATTTAAGAGTTATGGAATTCTGAAGAACTGACAATTGCAAAAATTCTGACAAATCGTAATTAGTTTGAAACCGAATGCACAAGTCTAGTAACGTGACAGAGAATAGTATGAAAATCATAAGTCACAAACATATATTACATAAGGGTGAAATATGTCAAATTGAAAATTATGCCATAGAAATGATTTAGAGACATCTTAATAAGCCACAAGACTAAAAGTTATAATATCCTGCTTTTCTATTCCGTTATTCCAAAAAAAATAATTAAAAAAAGAGATTTTGTGCAGCACAGGCAGTTGATTAATCAGTGTCTAGCACTCGGTGGATCAGTTGAGCTGCACACGTGTGGTTTAGTAACACCTTCCTGTTCCTCCTGCCATCCCGAATATTGGCAAGTATACACATTCCTAAGCTTTTGCTTTACAACATTAAGAATTAGAGATCCACACAACATATGTTACTTTATTCAACTAGATTAACGCAAAGATCTTAATTATAGACAATTTTATGATTGCGTGCTGCCTTTATCCAAAAATATAAATTTTCAACACCAATAACTGGATGGTATCTAAAAGCATGGGAATGGATTTTAGAAGCAGGGTCTGTAATACTCGTACCTTTCAAATAATGTTCTCCTATGCTTAGAACTCTCTCCATCCCATACTTTGTTACCCGGTCTGGATTTTTTCATTATTTAACTATCTTTCTAAATCTGCCATGTTTTAGCTAATTGATCTTTCTCATAAGAAGAAGTGTTAATGAAATGTGTAGCAGGGAAGCCACAAGGTTAATGAGTTTCATGGTAGGTACATTGAAGGCAATTCAAAGGAAATATTGGTTGAAGCATGCAAAATTTGTTCAACATGGGGGTATTGCCTTAAATGCCAGTGGTGCAAGTCACGGCTTCCATTCCAAGCGTTATACATGTAATTTCCAATAGCGCACTGTTAAGAAATTGCCAAGAACGCTTGAAATACATCCAACATTCTGCCATTACTGTGCATGGGGTCATTTTTTGACTTTGTATTTTACTACAATGGAATAAAAAAGACTAACCGCGAATACTTTGGTCTCTTAAATTTTGTTTTGACAAGGTGGAAATATTATGGCAGGTAACCTACAGTTTAAAATGTTAAACACAAATTGAGATTTTTTTTTTTTTTTATCAGCCCTCACTCTATTGTCACTTTTAATTCTTGGCTGAAATTAATTGCATTGCAATGTAGTAAAAAAATATTTATGGAAATATATCAAAACGCGTTGGGAACATTGCATCAGATATTCCAGCAGACCTATGGTTTCAAAGAATTATGATTCATCCAAATTATGGGCAGGTCTTCTGCATTCCGAACCATGAATTGTTCTACGATCAATTCAGTAAACAAATAAAAACGGGCAATGAAGAAAGCTTTGTTTGTTTTGTGATTTGGAATTCCTTGACGTGGCATGCAGACAAAACAAAAGATGATTGATGGCCGGGGGACAGCCACTAAATGTTAATTTTATTTACAGATCAAGTGAAAAATAGAGGGGAAAAAAGGTGGCTCAATAAAAACATAAATATTTAATAAATATATAAAAGCTATAAAATTTTTTACTGTTACTCTTTTAACCTCTATTGGTTATTTCCAACAACTTGATCTGAATCAAATGGTATCAAATATTTTAAAAATATAATTAGTTTCTATTATGTATATATTTTGCAGCACACTGACTGGCCTATTTCCATTTTCATGGTTTGTCTGAATCATTCGCACCGACAAAATTTGTCCAAAACGAAATGTCCTATGGACACATTTCGGACCATCCCACACTAAAAATGCATATTCTGACAAACCACATTTGTTCTTCGTGCACAAGTCTATATGCCTGTGAACAAAAAAAATAAAAGGACACACAGACCACAAAAATGAAAGGAAAGGTGATAGGATATGCATTATAATAAGGACATTTAAATGGTGGGAATGTAAGTTTTGGTACAAAGTAATGCTGACATGTCATGGAGTACAAACTGTACTTCATTGGCTCTACAAAGTCGACACAACAATAGGTTAACATAGCACTGATTATTTTCCAAATGACATTCCTTTATCTTGGATGACAAACCAACATATTTCACTGTTAAGTGAATAACCCTTAATGTTTGCAAAGCTTTTCTGAGACTTGAGAAAGACGTTTCCACCAATAAAGGTAATTTAAACAACAGAAAAGGTTGTGCATGTGTGTGTGTGTGTGTGTGTGTGTGTGTGTGTGTTGTGTTAAGCGGATGAGTCTGATGTAAGCAGTTGTTAAATATTTCAACTGTAAGCATAGAATGAGTTGAATAGGGTCCAGGTGCACTTATAAACAATATACATGATTTATTAATTGAATGGTGGTCTTAGCCAACTTATGTTTACAATGCAGGTACATTTTGGTAAAAGCACTAGGGTTTGCACAGTGGGCTCAAAGCACTGTCCCACATGCAATCAGGCACATATAATTTGTTGCTCCCTGAACATGTAATTTAGAACAAGTTTTAGTATCTTAGTTACACAAATTACTGTAGTTTTAAACTGAATATTGCATAAAGGAATACGTTTATTCCTTTGCAGTTTTGTTTTACACAAATTTGAAGTATTTAGAAGAGGGACACTATGAACTAAAAGGGTGACAGATGGAATAAAGTGCAAAAATAGGCTGATATTTTATACAGAATATACTTTCTAGCATAGCTGCTTCGGAAGCTGATCGGCACACTGCTGCGCTACTACTCTGATGGTGCTGTGGCACAAATACACCATTCTCTGCACGATAAATGCACACAAACATATCAAACACTATTCATTCTGTATATTCATTTTTCTATTCTCCCAATATATAGCAATAGAAAAAAAGTATTAAATTAAAAAGAAACTACATAGAACTGCCTTAACGGCGATATATATCTAGTTGGCTGAGATATTTGAACCATTTCATGGTTAGAAAGAAATACAGTGGGGACAAATCAAACTTTTGGGCAAACCATCAAAAAAAAGGAGACATTCAGTTTTCTTAAAAAAATATTTTCAAAAGCAAACAATATGCAGATGTCAAGTTCACCTTTAGATACGTGTAGATTGAATTCACACATTACACTAGCGAAATAACTAGCAAACCGATAGACTAAAGACTATATTTACTGTGAGCTCACGTTGAACTTCAGTATAAATAAAAGCCTTTAGTGTATGCTAGGCATTAAGGCGCTTGCTTGTGTAGCTGCCAATTGATTGATTACATGTTTGTAGCCTTATAGCTATACCATTACAGGTTAAAAAAGAAAAATATAGGATAATTGTTCATCTTTAGGTGCAATTTAAATACATGCAGTATGTATTAACAAGGTGCTTTATTTGACACAATTCAGCATTATGTATTGAATGTAAAAAACAATTAATTTATAGTTATAATCTCACGGCTGAATGGAAGAATCTGGCCAAAATTACCCACATCTTTAGGATTTGCTTGCATGGCAGCATGGAAGAGAATAACTCAACAATTGTATTTAAAGTCATCCACAGCAGAGAGTTTTTAAAAAGGTACACTTTTAACTCTTCAAGTGTCGGACTAAGTAGTGTATAACATCCTTTCTTCTGCTATTTATAGTTCCAATATAAGAGTTCCCTTAGAAACATACAGCTGATTTGTCATACTATACCTGCAAGGCTAGGATCCCTGCTTGAAAATATTACATTCTACTTTACGAATACATGGTAATCCTGATCGGAATCACAGGACTGAAAGTTACAAACCTATTCTACTTCACAATCGGCATGAATCTTCATATTACATTATTGGGAAAACTTGCAATATGAGTACTTGACATGTTTGCTTTAAAGCAGTGTTAAATCACCAAACAATAAATAAATACAAACAGTATAAAAACAAATATACATACATTTATATATATATATATATATATATATATATATATATAAATAAAACAGTGTGGACGGTTATGTGTTTTAATTTAGTAAAATAATAGAGCAAATATAATTACTTTTTTCTTAATACTACAAAAAATAAATTGAAATTGTGCAAACATATCCTATGTTGATAGATTCTGAATGTAGTGCAACGCCTTGCTATTAATTTGTGCCTAGTAATAATATATAATGAATTTATAACAAAATAATACAAACAGAGAATATGCTTCCTTATCATGGGCCCAGTTATACCTGAGCACATCCAAATATAGATTTGTATTATTTATGATGATTGAAGAGTCACCCATTTATGACACGGAAGTTTCTCTCTTGACTATTTACATTTTTTTTAATGAATGCGGATTTAAAACAAATAGGGACGTATGGGCCTTTCAGCTGTGTGGGTCAGCTTGCTTATTTGAACCTGCAACATGGTTAGCTTGTTTCAAATGGGCTTCTGAATGTTGCATCGACATTTCTAAGTTTTATTTCCCCCTAAAAATAGAACTATACACACATACATACATTTATATATAGAGAGAGAGATAACATTTGGATGGTATTTATAAACCATATGAAATACATATAAATATATAGTTTTATTTATATTGGAAAATAAAAACCCCTTCAGAAATACATATACACACATTATTCTATCACCACATATCCTCAAATGTAATGTGCTCCTGATAAGAAATCTCGCTTTCTATGTGGCAGAAGAAGATATATGGAGGATATTGAGGTCTTACAGGATACTTGATAGACCTGTGTTTTAGGCTGGGTCACATGCGCAAAGAGAGAAAAGTGACACTGTGTCAGGAAGTGAGAATAAGAAGGCAGCAGAGAAAAAATGGAGGGTTTTAGATAACGAGATAATAGTAACTCTCTCCTCACTCATTCCCTGGATGTCAACATGCAAGAGGACGTCAAGGGTCCTAAAGTGACAGTACCAAATTAATAATCAATAGCAGATCAATAGTAGAATAGATGGCAGTGGTACAGGTGAAAGAATGAGCAGCATTACAAAATTGTAAAATGTTGGAAATATTGGTTGTTTAGAAAGAGTGGCAAATAACACAGGACCACAAAAACACATTTATTGGCTATCCCTGGTTATCAGATGACTAAACAGATAATTATTTGTTCAGATTTGCAACTGACCACAAAAGTATTTTATTAATATCAGTTAATTTGAATGCATATTAGGTGCACAAGGCTTGGTCTCAGTTAATTAAATGAAGCTGATTTTTGATCCGCTCAAATGCACTGCTAATTTGAGTGCCCTGGCATGATCACCCTACAAACAAGGTGTCTGTATGACGATAAGACCACAGTTAATATGTGAGTTAATATTTAGTACTGCAATATTTAGAGCGATAACATTCTTAAAACTAAGACTAGTAATTAATTAAACACAGTGTGTATATATTATATTAGTCTAAAATTCGTGCCCAGCTGAATGTCCTACACCTAATCCCATGTCATCTGGAATCTAAATTTATATTTCTTTGTTTTGCCCTCGGTTCTAATCAAGTTGTCCTATGAGATGAATAATTTAAGACATAAAAATTACCTTCAATAGGTAAAAAAAAAAAAAGAATAAGTATAATCAGTTTGAGTATCATAATTATTATTGGGTTATATCTTGTTATGTATGATATATATTTCATATATAGGATGCAGAATATAAGGGTGTAAATAATTATGAAATATCACTCATCCACAAACACATCATTAAAGTTTATCAGAAAATGTAATATTATAAAGATTTAAAATAAATAGTGTTTTATGGCAAATAAAATAAAATAAAATAATGAGTTGTAATGTGAAGCTGTGCTATATTCTTGGTAAATCAGGACCAATTTGCATACTCTTGTATTTACAATAATTCAGTGACATGGTAAACTGTTACGATTAAAATAAGCAATTGCCAAATACTATAAAGATTCCAAGTACTCTCCTGACAATACCTTTCTTTATTAAACTTTTAAATCTCCTTTATATCACGGTTCATCTGACTTAAACTTCTAAAGTGTGAAAATGTATAAAATGATTCTCCCATAATAGTGTTCAAATTGAAATTAGAATAATACAAATGATTTACTCTAAATAAAGCATTTTTTTTAATATGTCAGGAACTGACCTTGCAAATGTGAAATTGGCCTTTAGTGCTTAAATAGCAGGGTTACCAGGAATGTATTCCTATCTAAATGTTGTTTTACTGCAAACAAATGTGTGAGCTATACTTGATGAAGGAAGACTCAGTGGATCAAACTTACCCTTGTTATAAATAGAAATATTTAACATGAAGTTTCTATAGTGAAAAAAACACATCGATATACATATATATATATATATATATATATATATATATATATACACACACTGAATGAACAAACACACACGTAAATATATGATATTATGAAAATACACAACATTTTCCCAAATAATTTGTTTTTATTTTACATACTTCTTATTTTATCAAATGGAAAAATAATCTTCGTTCACCAACATCAAATGTCCCTCGTTTATAAAGAAAATAATTGCTATACTCTTACACCGTTAGTGGAAATATTGGTCAGCTTAACCTGACTTATTTGTAGGATAGTAAACCTACAGGCTAGCAAATATAAACAAATATAACCCAAACTGTTTAAAAACAAGTAAACAGACTGTGACTGGTAGAAAAACAAAAAAACTTTACAGTCCTATAATAAAAGAATGGTGAAAATTTGATTTTCAGTCTTGCTCGCTGGAACATAGTAGTGCACCTTCTATAATTCACTATGAAGAGTCTCTTTACATAGATCTACAATGACAAAAAATAAACATATGTTTTATTTACAGTGACATGTAAACTGTATGGTAATTAAACATACATAGTGGTGTACCCAGCCAAGAATGTGCAGGTTTATTTCATATAGGCTCTGTGATAAAAACATGCACAGGTGAGAAATGTGTGTACCATAGTAGGATAAGAAAATTGTAATATTTGTATTATAAGTCTTGGGACCCCAGAAGATAATGTGGACCCTATAATAATGACACTGACTTTATATGCAAAAGGTGAAGGCATAACATATAAAAGTAAAACAAATTAATAAATTAATACTTTAAACACAGATTGAATAGAGTGTACACAAACAGGGCACCAAATGCCCAATAGCTGGAGCAAAGTTTGTATGGTATTTATAAACCATCTAAAATACATTTACTCATGTATATATTTAGATATAAATGTTATACCACTACTTGTGCTGTAGCAATGAAGGCATTAAGAGAGTATCAGACACATTATCCTCCTGCCATTTGCGATGTACTCATTATAAAAAAAAAAAAAGTACATATGATGACCTGAAATTTCAAGGTCAAATATAATCTCCCTGTAAAAGTTCAGTGTTATAATGAACAGGGCTTTGGAAACCCTATTATAAATATTTAAATTAAATGTGATCCTGAAAGAAAAATGCCAAATTGTTCCCCCATGAGATCCACAATCTTTTTCGTAGAGTCATCAAATGTTTCTTTCTAATTTGGAAGGATTAATGTAAAAATTCAGCACGACACATGGAAAGTTACTGTGTTGTTTAGCTGTGTATATTCAACATGATATCGGTCATTTAAAACTGCCCTACATTTAATATTTGCAAAGCATTTACAATCTTTCCTTAAAAGTCTCCAACTCAAACTCTCCTTCTCATGACTTAAGGAAGAAACAATTTAAAGACATTAAAAAAACAACCCAGAAGTAAAATACATCTCATAATCAATAAAAATATTTGCTGACTTTTAATACATAAGCCAATCCTGCAATGGGTGACCTGTAGCCTTTGATATGTTTTTTGTACCAACTCTCTTCAACATAAGGCATTATTTCAAACTTGTCTGATTGTGGTACTGTCTACTCCTAACATAAATATCTAAAATTCTCACCTCGTAAAGGCCCAGGGATTTCTTAAGACAATATTATTTTGCATTAGCCTAGCACCAACCATCCTCACTACATAAATAAATGATAATAACATCTCCCTGCCCATGTTTACAATTCTACCTATCAACTAGTAAAAATAGAAAGACATTTAGACAATAAAAAATACCAATCTATTTTTACATTGCACTGTATTAGAGTTCAAATGTTTGTCAAGGTGCCCCCCGACCTCCCCCCAAAAATGTTTTTAATAAATAAGCAGTATAGAGTAATTTAGGAAACCCCCCTCCCAAGGTCACAACTGATGGCTAAACAAACCCATCAACTGAGCTGCTTTAAATGTACTTGTAATTAAAAATATATATGTAATTTTTTTCCAGACTACGAGAAAATGTTTAAATTATTTGCTACTGTAAGAAGCCGAGAAGGAACAATGAAATATATTTCAAGGTGGAACGTGACTTAGATTACATGTTAATATAATTTTCAAAGGGTTAAAGACACACAAATATTGTACATATTGTTATCATTATGAAAAATAACCAAAGCACTTTGTAATTTTAAATATTGCCCAATATGACTGCAGAAATGTGATGGTCATATATACCAAAATGGAAAACTCCCCAAACATTATATAAAAAAAATTCCCGAACATTATATAAAAATTCGGGATATGTTGAAATAGCTTTATACATAGTCTTATTATTTAACAAAAGCTAAAATTTAGACCCAATTAAGAAATGTTTTATTTCTGCAAATATACTTTTTACACTGCAATTCAACTGAAAATACAAGCTGGGCTTGTTTAATATTGTTCTAAAAAAAAAAAAAACACAAACATACTGTGGAAGAGAAAAGCAAATATTTTCAATTGTAAATGTATATTTATATATCGATATGCAAACAAGTGGAAACTTTGTCTCGAACATTTAAGTGATCAACACAGTAAATAAAACATGTGACAGAAAGTAAAATTGACAAACATTTTAGCACAAATTTGCTAAGCTTGTTTTGAAGTATACATTTACTTAGTATGTGAGGTCAAACCCAACATTACACGTAAAAAATATGAAACCAAATGGCAAGCTGTTAAATGTTTCATGCGATATCTACAGCGATCAGATGGTCCTGTTTCAAAAGTTTCCTGAAACTGCTCTCTGATTGGTTGACAGACATTTTTGTTATGCAGGCAATTAGGCACAATTAATAGAAAGTAAATTACTGGAGTCATACATTAAATCACTGCCCACACATCGAGCTACAAATCACAGTTCATGGTATGTGCAGCCTGGAGGCAGGTCTGTAAACAGTGACTTATCAAAAGCCAGGAAAAGAAACAAGAGCGAGTACAGCTAGATAAATACAGATAAATACTTACAGTGTTAGTCAATAAAGTCAGAATTCAAAGTGAGTTTCAAATTTAAGCCCAAATAAGCCGATCTGGAAACATAGCTGGCTTAGAGAGTTTTTCGATTTCGGCTACTTTTACCTTAAATTTTAAATTTAAATTGAATTCACACCTTAGGAAATAACTCTACGAATAAGACTGGTGCACATATACTTTAGAATAGTTAAGTTACATTTATTCACTTCAGTTTAAATTATTTCTTAGATTCATACTAGGAACAAAATAAAACAACACTGCTTGTAATCACCTGCTTTAAAACATTTTAAAATGTTGTCCTCAATGTGTGTGTGTGTGTATATGATAAATACACGTATATGCACATCTCTATCTATATGTATATATCTATATACTTGTTATTGACTGTGCAGCTTGCAAACTAACGGTTTGTTATTGTTTGAAATCACTCAAGGCTTTAGGGCCTGAATATGTAAATGCAATCCTCCCCACCCAAAAAATAAAAAAAAATCTAAACAACAATATAAAAATATTTAAAATGAAAACATGCTTAGGTAGGTTGTTTTCTTATACTATGTATCGGACTGCCCCATTTGGATTCATGAAATGAGAACATTAACTACCAAAAGTAATGCAGGAGATAGCAAGACGCGTACGTTTACTACGAGGTCCAATTTTGTTGCATTTTTAATATTCTTGAAAAAACTTTATATTTTGGGGAATTGTCTTGCAACAGCATGGTTCCATAGCTTCAGTATTGTATAGAAAAATGTCAAAAGTTCTACCCAATTCATTTACAACGTCAGCTGCATGAGCGGAGATCTATAAGCACATACTGTTCGGATTAAATATTTATTTAAAACCTGAGGGTTTTTTCTTTTACATACTAAGATCTCAAGCCTTCATTTTAAGATGTCATTGGTTCTAAAATCAATATTTTATCTTGGATACATAATGCATTTTTCCCCACCTAAAAGAGGCTGTGTCTACATGGTAAAGCAAACTACATTGCTTGGTTCCTGAGCAATAAAAAGTGCCTTTTATTATTTTACCAAGTAGGCCAATTTGGCTCTAGTGTATGGAATTCAGTTATTCTTCAGCTCATTAATATTTTAAGGACTACTGTAATTTCAAACATGAATTATCCTGAAAAAAAAAATACACAAAAGAAAAAAAAAAAAAGAAAAAAAAAGGGAAACGCGCCATCAATGGCGTCTGCTTTTATTTGCGTGCCTCAGAAATGTGCAACGTGGCCCTTCCACTTTGTAAGGTTACATGG